TGGACATGTTGTCAGGAGAGTCCCGTTCCTGGAAAAGGACATCCTGTTTGGAAATGGGTAGGTGAGAACGAGGAAGGCCCTTGATGCCATGGATTGACAACGTGGCTGCAACAATGGGCTTGAACATAAGAACATGAGGCTGGTGCGGGACTGGGGGGGTCAGACCCAACTCCAAGGGCCCCCGACCACCACTTGGGACTTCGTGATGCTGGATGAATTACTCAACATGTCTGTTCCCCACCTATAACTGGGGGTGGGGGTGGTAATAAAAGATATTCTGATGATTAGATGGGAAGCACTTAGAACATATATTTTGGTTTTATTGCAGTGAGTGGTTGAGTCTGTTACCCAGGCAAAGTTTATAGTGATACATGCTCAGGCCCTGGCTAAGCCCCAGACACCTCAGCTCCCTGCCGTGGAGAGGGTGCCAACTTAGGGACCCTACCGAGCAGGGTAAACCTGTGGGTTTCTGACACTGTGACTCTTTACGGGAAAGAAAGCCTTGTCTTTCTCCCGCGGAGTGCCTGGTGGTTTCGAACTGCTCCCCTTTCAAGTTAGCGGCCCAACACAGACACTAAGCCACCAGGGGTCCTCCCTTGTACCTTGGGGATCCTAAATGAATGGATCGGGCGCTTAAAGAAACAAAGTTGGTGTGCCAGGTGGCAGAAGGGTGTGCTGAGTGAGATGCAGCCCCTGTTCAGCGGAAAGGGAGGGAGGGCAGACTATTGACTAGGTCGTTTTTTTAGGATATGGACTCTCAGGGTCGTGGCCCAGTCCTGGTGTAGCTACAAAGATGCTCTTCCCTGTCCCCCGCCTCCCTAAGAGAGTCCCGGAAGTCAGCCGGCAAGAACTAAGGCCAAGAAGGCCACGCCTGATAAGGCGCGTGCAGAATCCAGCTGCGAGTCCACTAGGTCCCAGAAGGAAGCTTAGCACAGGATCTCTCAGTCTTCCCGCCACAGCCAGAGCCAGACCCACAAGGCCCAGGCCAGGGCGGGCCGGACCGCGGGCAGCCAATGGCCGGTCCTATAGCCCGCAGGGCCTCACTGCGATTGGCTGGACGTCCCAGCCTGCCTGGGGATTGGCTGCTGATGCACAGCTGCTCCGCCCCGCGAGCTAGACCTTCGCGGGCCGCGCAGCGCGTCGCTCTCTCTGCTCGGCCCCGGCACGGACGGTGAGTGTCGCTCGCCTGCGGCCCTGCGCGCGGGAGGGCGCACGGTGGGCCCGCGGGGGGCGGCCGGGGTGGGCTCGTCCCCTCGAGCTTTGCCCGCCCGGAGCCCTCTGCTCCCGGCGGCCAGAACGCAGGGGTAGAGCAGGCTCGGGGGCCCTAGGGGCGGGCGGTAGTGCCCGCGCCTGGGCCGCCGAGGTACAGGCGCAGGAAAAAAAAAATGGTTAAGATGGAAAATATTGGTTATA